AGTTGGCCCCTTTAGCACAGGAATATCCCATTCGTTGCACGTGTGTGATGTGTCCGAGGTCACCAATTAAAAGCCTGCAGGAAAGATGACCTCTAAATCTGATTGGGTTAGCATTAGTAGCCCCTCTTTGCGCTACCTATTCACATGCACGAAACCTCTCCCCACGTTTTCTGTATGCCAAAATATTCACGAATAAAGGGCTGAAAAACTACGCATGCACGTACACACAGGCTTTGTGATGCTGGGGGTAATCAATAGGGCTGCGGGCGTCTTCCAGCTTGCTGCAGGGATAGAGTTTCATAGCCTGACAATCATAAGGTTATCGCCTGCGCAGATCTCCTAATTACTCCAAAATACGTCATTTTTAGCACAACACTCTCCGCTACAAACAAGGTCACATCAGTTCAGCACTTTCCACAGCGTATAAAAGTTACTTCAGAGGCAAAAAACGACTGAGGTGAAGACTACGAGACTTGATTTTGAATTTAATCGCATATAATTTAATGGGTTTCGCTCAGTCGTTTTCCGTTTAGTAGTAAGTAAATCAGCAGACTTAAACTTATTCCTTTCCTGAGAGGCTAAACAAGCAGACAGAACAGAATGAGTGAGCGGAATTGGCTTGGTCGTTGAGTGAATTACGGTCTCACCGTTGGCAGCGATAATCAGGTTTGCGCTTCTCTTACCCGCCTTCAATACTCCACTCCCCATCGACTTGCTACCTTTTAACGGCATTTCGGCTATCCGTATGTGTTTAACACGTGTCAGTTTCCCTCACGCCTATGCAAATTCTCTGTTAGGAAAGCGGAATGAATAAATTAATGAGAACTACATGGCTTTGTTCCAAATTCTCTACTCTGCTAATAAAGGAAGATTAATTCCACTTCTTCAATTGCAGGACGATCATTTGAAATTTTAAAAGAACCACAGTCACCAAGTGAAATAAGTGAGGAGATGTCGACATTACTTATAGATATCATTCTATTCTTCGAAGTACCATAATCACTCACTATATGAGACCTTCTGCTGTGACCTGTGAGAGTGCTCCAGTGGCCGCGACCTGGCCTCAGCCAGCAGCAAAATACGTCTCCTAATGAACCGCGTTTACTTGGCCAGGTAAGCAACCGACCCTACAGGGAAGCAGAAGTAACAACAATGCTGGTGAATCGAATGTTGTTTGGTAACTTGACACCCAAGTAATGGAGGCAACCAGATGGAGGTTGTCTACTAGGAAGCCACACGCACCACGTGGAGAGATGACGATGTAGGTGTGTATTAGGCAAACAGAACCCATGCACGGGACTAAAATTACTAATATGTGAGGCATCAGCGTCGGAGTCATGATTTACTTTAATTGTGTGAGGACACGGCCTAAATTATATGTGTGATCGTGTTCTCAGTTCACATCTATAACAGCAGCAATAATATGGGGTGATAAATTTATGGGGAGAGAAAGAGGACAATGGTTACCATAGATAATTTACAATCTCGATAAAATTTTCTGCACGAAATCCTTCGCCCTTTTACCATTTATAAATCCAAAAAGAATGTTCCTCAATTATACTTATTCCGATGGGTCGCATGTAGAAACTTGATAGCATCCAATTCATTGGTATGTTGTTCCTCGGTATTGAGTACTCCTACGTTAATTCGAATACAAAGCTCAAAATAAAATAAGCGCCGTGCCTCGAGGAACGCAACGTAGGATCCTTCGACTGTCCTGACACCGCTTACACTAAGGCAAATTTTGGGATGAGCTTTGATGATTAGCAATATCACGGTCATAAACGGTTCGGTCTCTTTCCGACTGTTGTACTTTAGGTAGTAATTTAAAGGAATTTCGTTTTGAAGGTCCTTGTTATCATCCTGAGACTAAAACATCCATTTGTCGAAGCTAACAGTGCAGTACCATTCCAAGTATTTCATGTGGACGTAAACTAATGTAGCAGCAGTAAGGGTTCATTTTTTGCCTACAACTGCCCTGCATTAACCGAACATTAGATAGATGGTAAGTACACACCACTAATCTTCCTTACTGTTAAATGTCTATTTGAAGGAAGTGGTTTGCAAGAAGAAGTAATCATGAATCGGTGTTTGCGTCTCCCGTACAAATTTTGGGTCTTCACCCTCCGTTAACAAAAAAATTCACAATCTTTAACTAATAATTAATCCGTGCCTTGTGGCAGGCAGAGCCTCCGTGTCTGTCGGCCCACCCGAAAGCTCAAGCTGTGATGTGTTGGTGCATGGCCAGTGCTCAAGGGGTCACTGTGTCGGCCTTTTGTGTCCACCTAGGTGGTCATGCACATGCATAATCTCCCTCTTCCTTCACTATACATGAGATCTGAAACACTGCTTGCGCACTTACTTCAACAATGGGTAGGGATTTTTAGACTCAAAGAAACGATAGTGCTTTGAGAAGGCGAGGAGGGGGCAAAATGTTTTGGCGATGGTTCGGCTAAAGTATCCTATTGTAGTTTGTCGAAGGTCAATTCGGTCTCCACAGAAATCTGTCGTCAACCTATCTGCGTTTCAGTATGCTCATTCTGACCGAATCACAACTCTGTGAATGCTTGGACCATTCAAAGGGCTGAATGGGCTCGTGCTCATTCAAAATGAATTTTTGAGCAGCACACAAAATGTAGACGAGGGCAGTGACTTTGCCCTCCAATAAACGCGTTTCAGTGAAATTCCGGTTCAGCTACGCAAATTCAAAATATGACTGGATTTATGTCTGAATACATGACAACTTTCTCAGCAAAGGTAAAATGCATCTACAAGATTATTGAAGGCAATGCGCTCTGAATCTTCGCCTCTAAAATGACAGCCTAAAAAGGAGGAGTTATGATTGCGGCATGCAAGAAATGAAGCAAAACTGGGTTATCCAAGTTGATATCAAAAATTCATGACCTTTTTAAGGGAGTAGTTTGCCACAAATGCTTTACAGCCAATAAAACCTATTATTTCTAGCAGGCCATCTGATAAGGTCCCGGTTAACTCATTACTCTTACATCATGGCAGTGCTCTTCCTGTGCATAAAATCTGTTCAGTAAGTGAATATTCTCGACTCCCGGTCTGAAATTCTTATCAGCCCTTCAGGAGAATCTGGTTAAAGAGATCGAGGCCTTGTGCAGCAGTCCACTTTTTTTGTAGAATGAAAGTTGTATTTGAAGGGAAAAAAGGTCTACACACCTTTGATGCACTGGGACCGATGCAATTCAAAAGGCCTGTATTTGATGTTCAGGATACTTTGATAAGTTAATATGCTATTCTTGATAGTACCTGCTATCTTACCCTCTCGCGTGGTTATGGTGGAAACGATTGACGCCCGCGTTCAGTAAGGTCATATTTACTAGACTCTTCAAATCTAAATGATTATTTGTTCACAAAAAAGCAACTGCCAGCATGACTAGGTTCGCACCTATGGAAATTCAATAAAAAACCCAATTTTAAGGATGTAACTACAGTTGCATCTATATGGAGCATTTGAGTCTAACCGGTATCCTTGGTTTTGTGATTGTGGTGGTATAAAACGCTGTAGTAAGTAGCAATTACACCATACTACGAGTACTAAAAAGCGGTACAAATGCAGCGAATCGGTTCAGAAGTCTTCGGTGAAGATAACTTACAATAGTGTTAGTGAGCACATGCACGGAAGTGGGTAGAGACGAAGTTTCTGGCGAACGAAGGCACCGAACCCGAACCTGTGTATATCTGGTTGTATGGAAGACTTTATGGTACGGTTATGAAACAAACAGCCGTAGTAGTAGGATACCTCAATCTTATCAAAGACAATTGCACATTCGTCAGTAATGAACCTGACCATGGGAGCTTGCTCCCAGGTGGAAGCCTCGGGGCTCATTCCAGTGTACATTCACCGCGTACAGATCCCGACTCTGGATATTTCATGCATAATTTGTCATGTGGTTACAAATGGGACGTACCCCACCGTGGGAACGGTAACCATTCGAGAACATTTGTGCACACTGGATACCAAGATTGATTTCAGCACTGATGGCTAAGTGAAGCAGTCTCACTAATAAAATTTCCCATCCTGCTGAAGGTTACTACGATCCCAAACATTTCTCTTTGAGGTCTATTAATTGACCGATATAACATGAAGATATGCCATGCGCACTGCTATTCACTTTAAGGTCAAGGCCACCCAAAAAAGATAAACAAGTATGTTAGTCATCCACGTAAAAGGGAACTCCAGTCCACCAGGGCGTACATATACATCGCGCCTTGATTGCACCTCGCTTGGTTGCGATGGCGACCTTGTCACGCTCACATATTTACGTTAACAGTGCATAGTGTATGCCAAAGCCGAGACAAGTGTCCCAAAGAGGTCGGAGACTAGGTTGGAAAATAAATGAGGCTTCTACACTCTGAAGTTCTTGCCTTCCTTTTATAAGACTGGAAGTCGTGGGTTGAGCCGATCACCTCTCTCAGTAATTTGGTGTATGGATACCCGCCGAACCTCCTCTCCTACCTATTTTGTACTTCATTTATCATCGGATCAAGGTAAGCCACGTAGGCTATGATGACATCTATACGCATCTTACTGCTCTTTTATGATTACTTAGGTAACAAATCAAATGGACGGTTTCCGTTCTATAATTCGAAATTTTAGTTTTGAATCCATGATCTTCAAGTCATCAAAAGCCTCCTTAATTACCCCTCAAGTGAAACACATATGACAGCTATAAAAAAATTTTCAAGTAAAATATAGTGGAAGGAAGGGAGAAGGCTTTTAAATCGGTGAAAAGCATTGGGTCTGTTGAACATCCCGGCATGGTGATTGAAAGAAGAGGAAGTAAATAGGGATCCCAATGACAATGACTATGAATGAATAATATTGTGATGCACGAACGGGTGCTGAAAAACCAAATGAGCGATTGCACTTTTTCGGTCTCCACATTACTGGATACCTGTAGAAAAGGTGATTGAGAAGGAGGTCCTATGTACAATAGCATTCATTTACGTCAAGAAAGGAGAGTCACAGTTCAAGTGTGATGAAAGCGCTCGTTCAAAAGCGCTATCAATTTCCTCTTCCCGCGATAGGAGTGGCACAGACAGCTGACGAGCTGGCGGAATTGCGCCGGTCCGTCGGGTTTGAGGAGGCCGAAAGTGTCGCGTGCTCGAGATAGAAAATCCAAGAAGTCGGCGTACTGTCGCGGTGAGATGTTGGCTAGACGCGCGTGCGTGGTCGCTACGAATGCGCTGATAGTAGCCTCCAGTAGCGGTTTCAATGGTGGTGCGTCTACAGGCAAGAGAGGCGGTTGTGCCTGCTTTGAGGTCGGATAGTAGCCCGCGTATACATCTGTAGAGGGTGCAGAATAGTAGCCAATTTATATTTTCAGAGACCCATCGAATACTTCCCTACACCTAATCCCCAAATATTTTACGATGAATCTCTTGATGCTATTATTCTAAACGAGTATCCCAACTAGCACTCCTTTGGGGTTTTCAGTATTGCCATTTTTAGGACTTGAGGTGCGAGGTCGAGGGATGAGGAAAAAAGGTGTAACGACTGTCAGTAAGAGATTTGGGTCTCAACTGGTACTTATCGGTAGGACTCCGAGTAGGGGACAATCAAGGAGCCGAAGCTATCAAAATGACGCCTGAGAAGACATCTTAATAATATCCCTTTTATTATAAGAAAGCGGTAAGCGGGAGTGAGAATGACTTCAAATCAGCTGAAATCAAGTTAGCAACTAGATCCTGGAGAAGTAATTCCACTGGAAGATCCCTTGACAGGTTAATCTTAAACGCTTTTCTGTAACCTAAGAAGATCCAAAATGATATTCCTGCAACGTCATTCATTTTGCAATAGGTTTACCAGCCTGCTTATGCCAGTTTCGTGGCACTAACTGTTAAATTGGTCAACGTATTCTACTACGAGGTTGTATGGATGTGACAGACACAGTTATTCAACACCAATTTGCAGAACAGAACTAAAAAAGGTGTAGGAACATCAGTCAGAAAAAAATTCGCGATTTTATCATCGAGGGGTAGAGAATAATGTTTGCTAAATGTCAAGTGGAATGGACAGAAAAGGTTATTTCAGTTAAGCTATGTATTTGCTAACAGTGACGACGTCACTGACGAACCACTCCTTAAGTCACTTGGTGTTGTGGAGGAACACTGAAAGGTGGCGGCTGGGGATGCCCGCAACGCCAGAAAACGTTCCTGTTTTTACCTTCTAGAAGTTTCCTATTTTTAACCATTTTTCATCCTGATTGGCTGATATCAGGAGACTGAAAACATCTTGGGCCTTCAGGACCCTGCACTAGTCACCTGGCCGCTGGGTACGCCCCCCCCCCCCGCACTGCGGCTTACTCATACGCTGACTAACAAAGGCATCCGTACCGAAGCCTCTGTCAGCAAGTCACTTCGGTTGAGGGTGCTCGATAGAACCCAAATTCGCGTACACAACACCAGTTGGTAGAGAATTTGGAGAGCTTAAACACACTGCAGATGCAGATCAAAATACCCCACACTTTATGCATGATTGCGCCACCGGGTAACTTTAGGATTCTCCTTTTCAATTTTTCTTGAGGGCAACCCCAACAGCGCGTGCTATGTAAACGACAAGGCGAACACGTATGTCTACCAACGGGAAAAGTGTGGCTCACTCGCTCCCTTCGCACTGGCTTTTGTGAGTGATTGGGTCAATTCAGTGTGGCACTTTGCGCTTGCATTCGACTTTTGGAATGCGCAGGAATCTGTTACCAGTTCAGAAGATTCTAAGATAGAAGTTCGGTACTAATTGATACTCAGAAATGTAGTCTAACAGAGAAATTACCTCTGCTAGCTTGCTAGTTTATGCTAGATTGTATGAAAGTGCTGTTTAATATTATTTCGACAGTCAGTAGGGCAAATATTACTCCCGAAAGGACGATAGAGGGGAGAGGAACGTGCAGTAAATGCCAGGATATGTTGCAACATGTTTTATTTCATCGCAGTTGTGAGAAACAAGAAATTAGCCTTCCCCATTATAGGTTGCTGGAGTTGTTTAAGTCCTCAGATAAAGGGCTCCCATATCTACGTTCATAACACGAGCCCCTAATCGAAGCCAACTGTGAAGTGGGAATGCTAGTCTAGGATTCTATTTTAACCACCAACATTCTTCCATCTGTGGCACTAGCTTCCGGGTTTCGGAGTAGAGACAACGGTAAGCGCACCCACTCTAAGTGAGAAAAGTCCGAAATTGATGGCAGACTATCAAACACGGACACCACAGAGGGCCGTTTAATGTAGTAAGCCTTACAACAGAGAGGCTATCAAAATCAGGCGTACTTTTGAAAATCACACTAATCGCACATCCTGAAGTGGAGTAATTCAAAAAAAATATGACTTTAGATTTGAGAACGTCTACTAGAAAAGTGTCTGCGATACTTATGTGAAGAAAAGATACCTCTCCTACGTTCCTAGTAGCTGAATGAGATCCAGATAAACAGTCCCACATCAAGGTGGTCGAGAGGAGTGGGTACGGAATGGTATTTTTGTGAAGTTATCTCCTCTACTTTCTTGAACTGGTTCTATCTTTAAGCTTTCTGTTTCTGTACCAGTCCTGGTTGGTACAGTCATTGAGTCTCACTAACACAATACACATGGGAGGAGCCTCTCTGAATCCATCGAAACCGTCGTCGGGATCAAATGCGTACCTGCAAAGGATGATCTTCGTTTCTGGTTCGCAAAGGGTTTTTAGAGTAGAATGGTAACCATAGATGGCATGGAGAAGGACATCCAATAAGAGGGAGGAGTGGGTGGCAGAATGACATTTGTCTTGATTGTTATCTTACCCGCACTGATTTTGGTCACCATCTTGGTGTCGTGACGTTCCGCATACATCCTTTCTCTTAGCAGGCTAAAAGTCCTTCTGAGGTTGCTATCAAGACCCATACATCATCCAACAACTCTGGGGCTGTAATTCAAACATCTGGTTTTGACGCAAGGTAACGAGTCCGCGAATTCCAATACATCAAGAGACCACACCATCTGACCGAACTATTGCTCAAATTGGAGGGAGGCCAAATGTGACGTCAAAAGCATGCAGAAAAGGAATTCGAGTGGACTCACGATTGCCATCCACACGATGGTGATGGTTAGGGTGGTGGTGGGAATGGGGATGGTACTGGGGCGTGGGCAGTGGTGGAAGAGACGGTGGTGGTGGAGCACGACAGCGATGCAAAATATCCGCCAGGAGAGTTGGACAGTGTACGTTTCGTACCACGTGGCTGAGAATCTCCTGGAGCGCTGTGAGACCGATGCGATGCGCCAGGAGACACGACCACAACACATCGTGCGCCACTGGATGGCTCTCCTACGGATGGAAAAACAACTGCAGATGATTGGTGCCTTAATTCGGTACGTAATTTTGCATTACATCTCATCACTGCACTGTGGCTCTGTTTACCCTATTCAATGTTCCAAATTCCATCGCCTTGGTGTTTACATTCATTATCTCCAGGGCCTGACTGGAAAATCGGGGTTCTTGGCGAACGCTCGATATCAATTTGGTGTCAATATTGGTAAATCACATCGCTAAGGCTATTAGAAGAATCACTAATGTAGTGAACTGGTTTGTTGCACGAATTGGGTAGGACCTGAAAGAACCTACAATGTCCCTTAAACCATAACGCTATATGGTGTATGAGTTTGTAGTTTGATTATTAGGGTGGTTTTGACCCAATTTGATGCGGTCATGTGTGACCGCAGGCCTTTCTGTACCGGTGTGAAGGCAAAATATCTCCCTTTTTGAGCATATAACCTTATTATCTAAGCCCAAGCCTGACGGAGGCTTTTATATCTGGGATGAAAAAATATCTCTAGAACGACCTTACGCCGCTACCAAATTTCGGCAGCTGTTGATACAAGCCTCGAATATTTGGAATAGTGGGACTAATGCAAACTTAAAAATACTAATTATTCTTCGATGAGGAAAGAAAATCTTATTCTCCTTTCCCATGCTTCCTACATATAAGTGGTTTTCTCCTTCCTAATGAATTGTTCGAGCTAAGCAGTTAAGCTGTTCCATTCCGGAGCAAGTGGGCAAAAATCGGTAGCTGATGGAGTGGATGCACCCAAATAGTTGGAATATGTCGAAAACTCGGCATATAATCGCATCAAGGTGTGATTTTGCCTATTCATAGTCGCTGCATGTAGTATTCCAATTCGTCCTTTGGGTGTAGTCAGGCTGCTTGCCGGCAGGACAATTAATGCAAATGAGAAAGCGAAAGGCAACTGTCTGTTTCGGATGTAAATTACACTGCAACACAATCAAATACGGTTAATTTTACAACCTTTACCTATATGACAAAACGATGAAAAATTAAATGTTTTCTTTTTGTATCCGTCCCTTACCAGAGGTTTTGAATGGGTCTCCATATTGCAGCGACCTAGTGAATGCATCCACTTATGTAAGAGGCGCACTTATAAACAAACCCAAATTTAGGTTCCTGAGAAGTGGTTCGTTGATCGGAACAATTTGCTTGAATGGATAGAATAGAGGACAAATTTCTAAGATCGCTGGGTAAAGGAAAAAAGGGCTAACAGATCGAGTATACGATCGACAGAAGGCAGAACCCCTCCTCCCTATTTAGAGGAGCCAATAAATAAAAAAAGGCAATTTGCACCACCTTGGGAAGGAAAACCCGATGTGTGCATGGGACACATGCGGCTGTAAAATTGGGAGAGGTAGTCAAGATGAGGAACGCACGTGCCCATGCGTTAGTGTTCGTGACCCCGTCAACCAACCATGTTTCGGCCCCGCTCACTGTCAATTGGGCAGTGCATCTCCGCGGTGTTAGGTTGACAAGTTAAAAGGGAAAAGGAGACAAATGCCTCGTATTTAGGCTCCAATGCTGTTATCCAGAAAAGTTGGATTGGCGGGCAAACGCGGAAAGGGTGAATGTTCCACACGATATTACGCGATGATGGCGTGGACAACAACTCCCGAACAGGAAGACGTTTCAAGATCGAACACCCACACAAAATTCATAATTCCATGATTAGGTGACTCCAAATTTTTAGAGCAAATAACTAAACTATTTGACTAACTTCCTTCGGAATCGAGAAAATCTGGGGGTAACCGAATCGGCGATACACAAAAATATCTTAGAAAGTTGTGGACTCCGGTTATTCACTCCGAGTTGACGATGCAAAAGACAACACTTAAAAAGCTTTAAAATATCATCTCTTGGGTTTTGCCTCTTATGCCCTAATTGAAATCCTTCAGAATAAAGCATAAAGGTTGGCTATTTGTTTAACCAATTTGCAAATATCAACCATGTTTTAGCATATGACAAGGGTTAACAAACGACCGGAAATTGTTAGTCACATTATCTAGGCCATAAACAAAGTAATTTTAACGTATACAGTCAATACTTTTGAAAGGAGCCTAATAGTTTTGAGGCATCGACTGGCCCATCTGTCTATCAGTAAGACGAAAATTATCAAACTTTCCCGCATGCATGCTAACTACGAGACAGCCGTATCACAACAGAAAGAAGGGAATAGGTGAGCCGATTGCCCTAGAGACAGCAACCAAAGCAGGCACACCAATGGAAGAATAGCCAAAGTTGCCCCTCGCTATTGGCCAATCTGAAGAGCGAAAAGCACTCCCAGGGGTGGGTGTGATGCTTTATTTTTTAAAATGACTGATAGTCTTTCTACTAGACTACGTTGGAAGGTTGTCTCGCATGTCTCGACAGCATAAACAGTTTAAAGGCACTAGCCCCAACTGTAGGTGTAGTTGCGATACCAAAGTAAGATAAAGCAAAGGGCCCACCTGAAGACCGCTGAGGGAGAAGAGACGCATTGCGTGAACGGTGAGAGGGAAGGCCCAGAGAGGATAGCCACGAGCATCGAGGTGTCGGGCTGCGGAGAAGAGGTGAGTTGGTCCCAGACTGCCTGATTTGGCCGCCTCCACAACCAACTGGTAGGTTGCCTCAAAACTCGCCGCGTCCAACTCGGTAAGCTGAAGAGCTGTCAGGGCACAATTTACCGGGTCCTGTGCCGCCGCCTGTGAATCAATCAAAAAGCACGTAGGATCAGAGCGCCATTGATAATTTCAACCTAGATTCAGCAGGGTTCAGACCGGAACTGTGATGTATTTCAATAGAAGGGGAAGTGACAGATATTTCAAGGTGGGAGAGCATTCTCTCCTCATCAGTCAGTGGTAGCTTAAGTGCCAAAAGCAAACAGTCTGCTGGCATTTGGCCACGAGCCAATGTAACGGCGCATTGTGCTATGGATAATGTCATTTTCGTAATGTAAGGCAAAATGCGTTTTTTCGTATGCAAAAATAAGCGTTCTGATTTGAGGCGAAAACTAGTTGAGCAGTACCGTTATCGGTACGAACGGCTGTGAAATTGGAGAAGGGAGATCGGGTTATGGACATATCCGCTTACGGTTAGGTGCTGGGAACTGACATTCAAAGCCAGAATGCCTATTCGTAAGCTGGAATAAGGCTACCTAAAGGAATGTAAGACGACGGAAATCAAAGAATGAGCAAAATAAAAACACCGTAATCCCACTACTAGCTGCATTCAAGAGGTCAAAGGGGCAAGTGCATCAGAGCTCAAATAATAACAACTGCGGCAAGCAAAACTTATATAAGAATTAACTCAATGTGACTGTAAAAGTTGCAGATAGCTCCAGATTAGGCGACAAAAATGTGCAAAACGGAAACAACTGGACCGTTTTCTAATTTCATGAAGATGGACGATCGGATGAGCACCCCACCTCTATCCACAGTCCAGTCTTACATCAACTTTGGCCTATGAAGGCGATAGCCACCTCTGCATTGCTTGGAGCTAAAGCCACAGTGGTTTTCGGAGATCACTCATTCTACGTGTCGACGCAAAAACAACAGCAACTAAGCAAATCCCTCATTGCACTACTGCTAGCAGCAGTTTTCCTTCCTGATCCCAGATTTCGATTTCCGTCAAAAAACCAAGAACCGGAGCATCATAATAATCACACAGACAAGTTAATTTAATGGATAATTGTTCCCACTTATTCTCGCGGATCGGCCAAATGTGGTTTGCGGACTCCTGTGAGTCCTACGTAATACTTCCACCAGCGGTCCTTAAAATGGGTTGACGCCACCAGAAATCTTGAGAACAATGAGCACTTAGGTCCTTTAAATTTCAATGAAGATACTTAAAAAAGAAGTTGGAAACCATATCGCGATCAAAGTCTTTGAGTTCGAAAGAAGCCACGTCATTCAAGTCAATTATTTTGACGTTGCTCCCCCTCAGACACCCCACAACTGCAAGCAAGTGATTGGAGGAATACATCGCTCCGTGAATTTGACCAATTTGCCCTCTAGAGGAATGAAACACCTTCTATTGACACCACTATCGGATTCACCGTGGTCTTGCTGCCCCAGACGTGCTAAACAATCAGCATCAGGTCCGATGATTTGGGCTCGGCTAAACAGAGTCAACTGCACACCGCTGTAGTTTGCTAACCTTTGTTGGGGGCTGGCATCAAATTTGGGCCAGCGACGAGTGAGAGGTTCTACACAAGTTCGGAGGAGGTGGACTGTTTCTGGGATATCAAGAGACCTTTGATATTTGGCCAGACATGCGGATTCTTGCTGAGGGCTGAGTGAGTGTCGCCGTATTTTCGGACGGTATCTAGTTGATCGGACAGCTGTGGTGGTGTGGGTAAGCGAGTCCCTAAACCAAACGTGATACACTTCTTATTAATCTAATTTTTGAACTTCCTTCAACATCTCACCTCTCATAGCCGCAACTGCCTTTGAGAGAGCTTTCAAGTGGACAGAATATTGAACTAACTGGGAAACTGTTTGCTGTTGCATGTAAACCTGTAAGGTTCAGGGCAGCAACTTAGCCTCACTAGCTTAGATCCACAATGAGAACAGAACACGGAACCAGGAGGCAGAATTATTCAAGTAGAGAATAGGGCTCATTTCATCTATTTTTTCCTAGTCGTAAGAAGGCTACATGATTAGACGAAAAACTTGCAGCTAGGTGAGCTGCCAGTCTTGTGGAGAAGTGGTACCTGCCAGTGCCGTCTAGGGATTCAAAAACGGAATCAATGATGGCTCTATAAGTGTTGCTCAGGGATGGATATGAGGAAACAAAGAAGGATAAGGGTTGTCGATAGGTTTTGTTGGTAATTTACAGCCGCCTTTGTTTCGATCTCGGAAGGTGAAGCAGGCAGAATCCACTAAATCATTGTGTGTGTGTGCACGCACATGGCCACACATGCACAAAGCAGACTGCTGCCTTGCCTATTATTCACCCGCTTTGACACACATTATTTGCTAAATGGAGGGTCTCGCGTCACATGACTTGTCGTCCAAACACAGTGGCGACCATCGGATTATAGAGTCCTGGTCACAAAAGCCACACGAAATGCAGTCAGATCCGGGTCCAGAAGCCCTGTGATCGTAACAGTCAGTGTAGGGTTTAAGTGATGGCAATTTCACTCGCATTTGGATATGATAGCAGGAGGTCATTGCCTGAAAAGCCTGCACTTTAATGAAATAGCTAACACGACATGGGATTTCGCTTGGAGTTAAAAAACCTTTTAGAAGTGAATTAATAAATACCTCACTAATGAGTAGATTGCACTCTAAATTCCGAACCGTGTCATGCCCTGCTGTGCTTTAGGTCTAACGAGTGATGACAAATTGGCACAGAGTGGTTTGGATCAAGTGTTTGAAGAGAAGGCAATCTCTAGTGGAATGTCGGGTCGATGAAATTTGGCGCAGCAACTTTGCATGCGTGTGCAAACAAGTCCAACTTAGTCAGACTGTCAACCTTGAATGCGCACCAATAGGGACCCAAATGACATAAATATGCGCGTACACGACTGTGACTACCATGGTAACTTGGTTCGCCTCCGCACACGGCAAGGTCGATAATAGAAACGGGCAAATGGATCCGCGGTAAGCCACACAACTCCGCCACCAGTCGCATCCCTGATTGGTCGATATGCAGCAGCCAATGGGAGGGGAGGGACAACCAGCGCGAGGGAGGGCAAGGGCAGATATGCGCGTCGCGTGTTTGCTGTGTGTGTGCAGCAGCGGAGAGGGGCAGTTTTGGACGAACCTAGCCTACTTTCAGACGTACTCTCGTGACCATGGAAATGCGAAGACTCACCGCGGCCCTTTTGGGCATTGCTATCGGCCTCATCATCATCGCTCTGGCTATCACTGACTGGCGTTACGGCCTGGCCTTCGGGGGCGCGACCCACGACAAGGAGGCAATGACTGCGGTCACCTTCCTGATCATCATTGGTCTAATCTGTCTCATCATTGTCTTCATCCTCGACATTGTCATGCTCTGCCAGACTGCTGTGCCCTCGGGCATGATCACAGCACGCTTCGTAATCCTCTACATCAGTGTGGCGCTTATCATGATCGGCGTCCTGGTGTACACGGCTAGAAGGGGTGGACTGTGGCCCTACTTCCTCGTCGTGGTAGGCATGGTATTTGCCGTCCTTGTGGCCATTCTGGCTGCTGTCTACTCCAGGTGCGTCTCCAGTGAGCGTGTAGTTGTGGTTCGTTCTACGCGTTAGGGAACCATCGTCGAACACGCCTACCCAGGACCTGCATGCCACGCACTTAACCCAAGATTTATACCCGACTAATTGCATCATCGCTTTTCATGTGCCCCCTCGCGTGTTCTCCCTCTGGTTCCCGCCTTAAAAAGACAGTAAACTGCGTGTCAGACTACCACTGCCCGGATCTAACTAGCATCTCTCGCGTCCAGTTAAGCCCATTCACTCGCTTTCCTTCTTTTCCCCTTTCCCTCTTTTGTTCTCCTCTTAGGAAAAATATTGTGCTTTTGTTAATAAATCTTTCTAATAACACTCACTGTTACATAGACGCCGACTATGTGTATTCATTAAATGCCAAAAAATAGAATGCCAATTGAAGCTACTGCTTATCAGCCTTCTTTGTTGTAAGTCTGAACCACTCAATCGTTGGTGGCGGTGGGGATGAAGACGTGTCGTGCCCGCTTTAGCTGTGGGACACGTGGGTTGCCGCTAGACTGCACGTGGTTATCAATGGTGTGAGAGGCTAGGTCACTCGTCTGTTTTCCTTACATCCTACCTAGAAAATATTGGCATGGCGGCTAGTTGCAAGTTCGTTAGGGAATTGCTGAAAAGGTGGCGGGGCGGATTATGGATGGTCACCGCCAGCGTTAGCGCGGCGTGCAGATGTGCTTGCTTAGGTGAGAAGTCTTACAACGAGCGGATTAAATTATCAAAAGTGTCCTGCTATTGCAACCAGAATAAATGCAAAATAAAAAGTGGTAACAGTAGCAGCCCTCTGCATTAAAACAAACAAAAATGAGTAAGTTTGGGTGTGATCTATGGCACAGTGACTAGGGCCGCCATACGAAAAACACAATAACCTTTTGAATGGTGAATGAGCTCTCGGGTTATCCTGAAGGCATCAAGACGGCGTGATGGGCGGTAGACAGAACGCTACTTTGGTGACAAGCAGTGAAAGTAAAAAAGGCTGGCACAAAGCTTGTTGGTCGTGGTTAGAAAGGCACTGGGACAGTAGTTTAGAAATAGCTTATTAGGCAGGATAAATAACATTTTTAATTGAATTTTATATTCCAGTGTGCATTGGAATCGAAACTAGGAAGGGTTGAGGTAAATTATTGGTTTTCATGACCTGGGGGGCTGCCACAAACATTAATCCACAATTCGAAGTAATAGTTCGAGGGAGCTAGATTAATTGACCTTGAGCAGACAAAATTCCCCCGCTTTTATTTATCGAAATTCTAAAAACCGTCAGAATTTGTGGATTTGGAGATTTATCAGCTCGTGGTAAACGTTAACAATTGAGATACCCCAAATTAAAAAATGGCAAATAAAAGTTTACTAACAGATAGTCAGTAGTAAGATTTATTTAACAACCGTAAAGGTCAAGTCCGACTTGCAAATCATTATGCTGTGATAAAATCAAGCAAAACAACAAAGTTGGAAGTAAAAGTGCTGTTTAAATGTTAAAACAAATGAAATTAAGGAATATATTCCATGTTGTCAAAGCACTTAAGTGCTACTACATTAACCGGCATCATGTTCGAAATTTCACCAATTCTGGGGTGTTAAATGGCATCCATTTAACTTAATTTAGCATATAAAAACTCAATAATTGTTACATTTTCCAGGTTTTATGTTTTAAGCAGGCTTAAGACCTCGTTCTTGCGAATTTTGGGAAATAAATTTTTGTGGACTTCTGAAGCCTACATAACTTACTTGTCCGCAAATATCACAGGGGGGCAACTCAATGAGGTTGAGTCTAAAGGCCACTAAGGCCTGGGAAACGCCATAAGTCAAGAACACGATAGTGTATCCAAAAAGAAAAGCGAGGAGTGGGAAAAGGTTACGTGCTTTTTCAACTACAATCTCAACATAGCGGCTTCCAAGACGCAGGGGTCTAGGCGCTTCTCTGAGATTACGTGGAGAAATTTACCTATGGTTTTTCAACCAATAGTGGTTATGGCATAACAAGATGGCAGCAGACATTCATACGATACGATAGTTTGTCAAGCTAGTCATGACGATCTCTCAGAGGTGCGTTTTGACAGAGAAGAGAGATTGGCCACGTGAAACTGCTACATAGTTTGCCCACTCGATGTAGCAACAGACGATTTCTCAATTCACGTTACTACTTGTGCATAAGGGTCCACAAACGCCAGTTAAAGAATACTTGAAATTGCACGAATTTCTTAAATTACCTCTTACATGCTGTTTCGATTCAAGCATATCCAGTCTGAGAGGTATGCATCGCTCTCTAGTATACGCCAGCGTCAGGTACAATTCAAAACGTCAAACTCGCACTATAGCTTACTCAGCCTGGTAAATTCTTGCCAATTTACAAATATTTAAATAAGTATTCAATAGCATTTTAAAAGCCCAAAGCTTTGTTTCTGTTTGCCGAATAAGCTGCAAGCCCATTCCCTTCCAAAGCTTAGTGATAATTTTGACTATGGTATAGTCATCTTCGCTGAAACACGGTCGCTGGTTCTAAGATCAGCTGACACCGCAGTTTTCATTGATTTACTTCACTGAAATGAGTTCCAAGTCTGGACCTTACCTGACACTAGGCTGCAAAACATGAAGATCGAGGGACAATTGACACTGACCCTTGCCTTAGCGCTAGTTTGCCTCACAGCCAGTCTTTACTTCACGGTTCACGACTACATTCATCCAGTGTTCAAATTTGGAACCGCTCAACTCGTTTTTAACTGGGTCCTGTGCATGCAGTCAATCGGTGTGATGTGTGTAATCTTCGGTTTACTTCTCATCTTACTGCGAATTGCAGGCCGGGTAGAACCAGAGTGGTTCCGCAAAATCCTCCTCATCCTCCTTAGCATCGCTACAGGTGCCCTCGTGTTTGCTGCCACTATAGACCTGATCTACCACGTCGATTTCCCCTACGTTCTCGCATATACCGGAACAATAATGGCAGTTATCACCGCTGTAGGCACAGAGGTGAGCCTCTTTAAGATGCTATAGAGAAAAATATATAAGCCTATAGCTTTCATGTCGTTTGCAGATAAGAATTAGTAAGCTTAATACAAATGGCGTCAATGTGGGACACCAGTGGAGCCGTCGGTGGAGGGAGAAAGGGTGAGGAAGTAAGGTTGGAGCTGTCGCACTGTCTGTAGATTACGTAGCAGTGCTTCAGGGGTCGAATCAAAATGCATGGTAAAAGCCAGTAAGCCAAAGGCAACTTTAGTCTGTATGCATCGACAAAAGCGTTACAGGAAGTTGCGCATGTCGATTATGGCACACTCTGAATCGAACAAATTAAAGGTCATGACACCGATTGTCTCATTTAAGAGCAAGTTTAGATCAAAGTTGACCTGAGCCTAATGAGTGAGTCAAAGTGCATAAAAATGAAAACCTTAAGTAGATAATAAAACTGTCATCTAAAAGGTTCTATGCGTCTGCGTGAAACGTTTTTGCTCTGACCCAAAAATTCGCATAAAGGAGTTAGCCGGCCACTTCGTTGACCACTGGATTTAATCGCCAGTCAGTCGATCAGTTAGTCAGCTGACGTGTGCCGTGATTTAGCTGCCAGTTGAGAGTGGGGACCCATAGGAAGGAGAGACCACGTAGTTTGCCAGTCAGAGCGACAAATCTATCGAAGTCAGACGATGAACACAAAAGCACTCGGCGTCGCTCTTCTAACAACAGCCATTTGCCTGATCTCTCTGGCCCTAATACTGACTACAATCGAAGGAAAAGCATTTGAGAGGTCGCAACTGTTACTGCAAATTTTGCGTGCCTTCGGACTGCTCTGCCTGTTGATAGCTCTCATCACCACTCCCCTCCCAATGCCCGGATGCACCGAGACTGAACTGCAGATCAGAATCCAGCAAGTCTCCCTCTTTCTCGGCACAGGTCTAGTGTTCCTCGCACTCATGACTGGTGCTGTTTCGCAGCCCTATCACATGCAGTTTTGGCTGTACACAGGGACCCTCTTTACAATAATTTCCACGGTCTTTCTGCGATCCACTTTCAATATTCGCCAGGAGGCGCAATCGGAAGTTCAGGGGGAGATGCAACAAAAGTTGCTTGAGTGTTGACATGATCTCAAAAGTAGCAAGTACAAGCGTTTCTCACACAGGGGAATCTTGGTGCAACCTACGTGAACGCCATTTAGTCAGGTGGTGAATCAAAGGAGAGCAAAAACGGGGCCCTTATGCTTTGGTAGTGGCAAATGAAATAATCAGATGATGTACTTTACCAGTGTCTACTTAACTCCAATCGGCAAAAGTCAGCTTTGAGATTGTCAGCCGAAAATTCACCATGGGCCTAGTAAAGAATCGTACACCTACTCATGAACTTATGCTGCGGGTTTTTTGGAGTACCTGCGAGATTCAGACTAAATGAGTGTTGTCCATAATCAAACAGCGATTCCTAGATATTGGAGCTGCTGGCACCTAGACCTTCTATAACTTTTTAACAAAAAACAATCCAAATGGCAAGATGCAGCCGGATGTTTATGCATGCAAAATAAAACTGACTGTTTTTCGTAGTGATTTACAGAAGTGTAAATACTAAAGGGGTTTACATGATTTCAATTTGCCAAGCGAAATGCCATCAATGAGAATGTGCAGCTACGACCTGAATTTTGCGTTAACGGGTGATTATGTAAAGTCGCCGGGACAAGATATTACCCGCTTAAGGAGGCAATGACTTTGATGCAACCAGCGCTGCTCAATTGATCACGACATTGAAAAATAAAATAATGCAAATACCAGGGAAATAAGAACAGGAATCAAGTGGAAAGAGTTAAGAAGAAGCGCTTTTAAGGCGTCTTCAGCATAGCTATGCGATCACGTGGAAGTAAACCAAACACTGTAAAGCATCAGCTAAATTAGAAAAGATAAGTCGAAATTGTGGGAGCAAAGTGAAGAAAGAGGAACCCACCTGAATGGTCATCTGTCTGACCGCAACTTTGATTTGCTCTACAGCGAGGGGAGTGAAGGAAAAGAAGCTGTAGATGCGCGGGAGGAGAAACAGCATGCCCTCGGCGCTGCTTCGCGTGGGCCTCGCACCAGCACCTCTGCTTGCCCCTGCACCAACGCCTGCGGCCCCACCAACGGGTGAAATACAGGCTATGCAGGCGAGGAGGGTGGGTGCTAGCCACGTAACGGCCTCTCGAGGACTGGCATAGACACTCCACGCCTGAGTTAGATGCAGAAGTGCTGGCGGACCAGCCAGCAGGCCCGTAGACACGGCCCAACCGAGCATCTCTCGCCGACGCCAGTGCACTCGAGGCCAGGCAGTGCGCACCGTCACGCACAGCGCCAAGTGAAAGGCAGCGCAGACTAGAGAGATCCGTTCCTGCAGAGCATTTGTTGGCAGCGGCGTTGTTACGAAATTGACCGGCAGGAGGTTCGCAAAACCCAGACTGCCAGCAGCGGAGGTTGTACCTGCCGTAAGTGAGGTGCCAGTGTTGGCGGACCCGGAGATTCCAGTGGTGGTGGCGGTAGCGGCGGCAGCAGCAGCGGAGGTGTTAAGCAGGAAGGCTGGCTCATCCAATGAAAATGCGCTCGTTGAGGAGTGCAAACGGTGGCCTATTGCTTCCGCCAAAACCTACCGAAAAACAACGTGGTACTTTCACTTATTCGGACCAGCGAAGCTGCTATGGATAAGAGTGAAGAAAAAAGGTTCACTCGATGAGTCCATTGAGGACATCGGTCAGGTAAGCATTCCGCGAGACTTATTTAGAAGATCAGTGAGGGTAAACTACCGCAGCTCAATAGCCAGAATCTTCCTGTTGGGAAGTGAGAAATTAGGAGAGTTTACACCAAATTGATGCAAAATATTATGAGGCCATATCCGTTGAGTTAAAATGACCTATGTTTGGTGGTACGAGCTACCGATAGATTAATCTTTGTAAATTCGTAGGCTTATAGAAGGACGTGCTGCAAAAAACAGCTGCAGGAATGAAAAGTAACTCATCTCCACTATAGCCAGCACTCTCTTTAGGTACAGCACCAATTGACAATAAACCAAGTTGTCCATTTACAATGCGCTTGACACAACTGACAAGGAAACCGAATGCCTTAAGCAATACTTTTTTCATTCAGAATACGAAAAGTTTTATTCGCATTTTAATAAGCTGTCTTCAATGCAACAAAAAGTTGCGCTGCGCCTTGGGTGTACATCTCTTTTCAGTAAGGATACATTCAGAAGAACCAACCTTACCTCGCATGTTGCGGTAAGATAAATGTAAAAGAATGTAGACTGTTATTGGCGAAGGACATTTGTGGTAGGCTTTTTACATTTAAATTTGCATTGCTATCATTAACCACAGGTAATGAACGGTAAATCACGTGGTTAAACGAAATCACTACTTTTAGTGGTATACGATTACTTACACCATCATCCGAGTAATGAAAATTCGAGCTACGCGGAGGCTGACACTACCAAAGCACGGGTTTAAAAAGAGATGATCAAGATACGGCCTCAGGATATGTTCCATGCGTAAAAAAAGTGCGCATAAAACATAACTGAGGGAAAGTGTTCGCGAAAAAGGCTAAAAGGTTATCGTGTGGGCGGGGCAGCATTGCATCGTACCTCACGCGACACCGAGAGCAGGCTGATGGAGGTGTGGATGTGTCGATCGCAGACCCGCATGAAGTGGTCCATGCGAAAGACAGCGGAGCGCGAGGCGAGGATCAGACTGATGGCCAGACGCGCCTGTCTGCCCTCCATGGCACCGAGGTCGCGTCGGTAGGCAGTTGCCACAGAGTCCTGGTTCACAAAGGCCGGATGCTGATGACGACGTGTTTCCTGACCCTGTCGATGGTAGTTTGGCAGTGGTTGCGGTGGCGGCAGCGGTAGGGGGAGCACGGGAAGACGGGCAAATGGTGTCATCGCTGCATTGAAGAACGTGGAGGGCAATGGTGGCGAACGGAATGCACCGGAAGCGGAGATAGCGGCGGAGGTGGTGTAAGTGGAAGGGGGAGACGAGTTATCGCCATGTTGGTGAGCTGTCAATGTGGTGGTGGTTGCGTTGATAACCAGAGGACTATCTGACACCGGTTCAAGGACCGGAAGTCTTCAAGGTAAGAGGAGAAGAATCAATAGGCTTTGACGTCTCTAGTACGCCCCATTTTTAAAGTTTGTGGACAAAGTCCATGAGTGACAATGAAGGCCATACAAAGAGAACCCATAGGTACTGCAGGTGTGTCAGAAGGGGTTAGGGTCCATATTCACTCGCATGGACCCAAACACATAAGTCGCATTTATGGACGCGAACGTGGAAAGCATTGCGCCTCTCTGTAATCACGTGATAGGTGTTGATCATGGAAATGAATCTGAAAAAGCGCCCGAACGGCAGTAGTTACGAAGCTGATTGATAAACTGACCATAGAGCTAACTAATGGGATCACCCAACATCATAAAAGCTTATTTAACCATGTACTTTACCCATATTAAAAGACGTTGCCAAAAGTCTCTACGATGCACCGAATAAGAATTTATGATTTTGCATCGTGTATAACATAACACATATTTTTGCAAATGCGAAAAAGAAGTTCGTATAGGGGGCTTAAAAATCCAGCTTTTCATTGAAAGCCTGTACACAGAGAAGGAATGTTATTCCGGCCATTCCACCTTATCGAAAAATGGTTCCAGATGAGGATATGGCTAAGGTAAAATGTACCTTCTGAGAAACAGAAGAATCTACACCATTGATTGGGAGGGGAGGTTTACGAGCCTTCAACCACAGGAAGAGGGAGGTGAGTCGACTCGCATTTCCGTAGTGTCCAGTGACCCTACTAAATTATGCTCTAGAGACTGAGGAAAAAGACGCGATCCGCATGAGTGAATGCCACGGAGACTTTCAGCACACAAAGCAAAGCCCGATGACTAACATCGACGCAGTCCAGTTGGGTGAGTTTTTCGTGGCTGTCTCTTCTAGTTTAGCAGCATTCGCCCCTTGTTCCCTTTTAACCAAAAATGAAAATCACTTAAAGGCAAATTAAACAACTTTAGTAGAAGAATAATGGTGATCGGGTTCGCGAAGTCGAAATGATTTTTAGTGAGCACAACTTGAATGAAAATATGGAAAGTAGGGAAATGGTTTTGAGTCATATCTTCTGAGTAGGAGCCAGTGACCGAAGTGATGCATAAATACACAGGCGCTATCAAGTCGGTATAGTAAGTACGCGAGGGAGTTCACCAAATCTCGTTAATTATTTATTTAGAAATCCCAAGTTGCTATTTTGAGATCCTTCGGCCAAAATACTATGATCAAAGTCTCAAAAAAGACGAAATCGACAAAATATTCGTCTCATTTCTGGGATAATTATTCCCCATCAATGCCAATCTCCTGGCAGCAAGTTTGATCGTAATAGTTTATTGGAAATGTTTTCACTGGACGTCGCATGGAGCTAGGCCTTTCCCCATTTCTTCTATCAAAATTAGGTCTCCTGACCACAGTTTCGTAGCTATGGTTTCTTGAATCCAGCCAAAGTTGCTAATACGAGTAGGTCGCCTCGAATAGCTTAAATAATGTAAACCGAAGAATCAGTCTTGAAAGCTATTGATCACCGCAACGGAGTGTCGCTAGGGCCAGCTAGCAGACACATTGAGGCGCTTTTTCCCTAGCCCCATCCGCCCAGAGCCTCCTGTGCTTTGTCCGGTGGGTGAGGGCGGAGCATGAACTTTTACCAGGCGCGAAAGAGGAGCGAGAGTGCGTATGCACGTGTGTGCGTGGACGTGGATAACGGTGAGACTTTGCCCTTCACTTAGTCACCACCATCGCCACTGATGGAAAGATGCTAAAACTCCACGGACAATACTACCCAGACACAGTAGCACAGTCCAATGGGGCTAATTTTAGGGAGAAGGGCATAAAATTAACGACTGTAAACGGGGAAAAGCGAGGAACAGCCTAATTCCGAGGAAATAAACAATGCTGCTTAGGTCCATTGAAATACATGGCTATGCAATGTGCTCGACAAAAAATAGTCAAGCGCCAATTTAAGAGATTTCTAAAAAAGCCAAAGTCAAACCACACTCTGAAGTGCGAGCTGAGATAGTCATACTAGAATATCATTTTTATGGAAAGCATTCACACCGCTATCCACATTAAGAGTTTATTTTTTCATATTACTGGGAAAGCGGCTTGAGGAACGAGGAAACGCCTTACTATAGGCAGCTAAAATGTTAGCAAGCGGATTAAATTCGGGTGCAAAATTTCAAACGTGGAGGCCCCGTGGCCAAAGGGAAAGTAATTCTAAGACAGGTTTTGATCTGTCAGAGAGAGTGGACGAGGAGAAGCAGATAGTACAAAGGTTTATGGACTCTTGAAACGATATCTAATTGGCACAAGACAGAGGTCATTCAAGTGACATCGGTTGGAGAAAGGGTGCATAAAAATAACTAGTTGTTTGATTGGCAGTAAAAAATAATGATAGCATTGTAGGGGACGTCCACTCAAGTCTACCTGCGGCATCGGTTTGAAGTGCGTTGAAAATCACAAAGCGTACAAGTGGTGCCCTCTTTCTCACGGATACGAGGCGCTCCGACATAAACGATAGTGAAATGCAGCGTTGTATTCTACCATTGCATTTCATTGTGAAAGACGAATGAACTTTAGATAAGCTAACGACACTTGGGGGGCAAGAAAATGAAACCAGAAACCAGTAAATTACTGGATAAAAGTAAACTAAAACTGTTTGAAAGAAGATATTAGTCTACGCCTAAGCGATCGCGATGTGTCGGATCCAGGGTTGATGATTTGGTTCCATGTAGCTGCTTGGTTTAAAATAAGACGAGGCTGCACTAGTATCTGCCATATTCGAAGAGCTAAAACATCAGCGGGTCGTAGCAATCCAATTTGCCTATCTGCAAAAGAAGTTCACAGGCAGCGGCGCAGCAGCAGTTGCGAAAGCGATGCATCCACCTAAACTGAAGTCGGTTTCCTACGGAGGTAACCTTATTCGTGTCATCCGCATAACTCAACACTAGAACTAGTCTCAAATGGTCCAGCACATTTTCTACCAAGGTTTCGGAGGAAAAATCAAACCATCACCACAATCCAAAGGTTTTACTCGTCTTACATAAGGAAAAACCCGAAAACGTGTGATGGGCCTCAGTTTGATGACAAGCGACATCTGTTGTGTCGTGTTGAGCTCATTTAGCCTATATGCGACATAAATTGACAGTGAATCAATGTTACATGCTTGTAAAGTGAACGCAGTACCCTGAAGAAAAGGGCAAGATACAAACCTCATAGCTCTAGCAGCGACTAGGTAAGCAAGTTCGCCAGTATAAGCTCCAGCCGACTCGCCGGCCAGAAGGTGTCCGAAGAGGAGCTCGGCGACGACATGAACGGGGTAGGTGTCTGGGTGGACAAGGGGCCCTAGAGCAGACCACCACCAGGCACCCTGAGTCCCGGTACCCATAGGGTGAAGCGAGGGTGGTGGAGGGCCCATCAACTGACAAACAAGAGGTCCGATGATCTGCGCGGTCATGGCGTTGCGCGGAATGGTATTCAGCAGGTGGATCAGAAGCATCTCCTGGGCCTGGCAGGCTAACAGGGCTCCGCTGGTAGATGGGAGGCTACGTTGTTGACACAGCACCAATATCCCCACCTGAGACATAAAAGCAATGGTGTGATAAGTTCTGAAAGCTCATAATCAACAGAGCAAAATCAAGGCAGCGGAACTATTGTTATTCGTGAAAATGAGGGATCCTAGTTTAGCTCAATGGCGTGAAGTATGCATCATAATCCGGTTGAAGAAAGGCTCGGAAAACTTAATGAGCATTTGTTTAAAAGATATTAAAGGCAATTTTTGGATAGCATCTTTACACAGGGTAAAGATTACTTTCTCTAACCATAGTCAAGCATAATCGTCCCTTGAAAGGTCTCAGCGATCCCTTCGGAGTGCCGTAAAGTATCAACATCCTTGTGCGAGAGTTGGTGCGTGATCAGCACAGCAGGATGGCGTACAAAAGCACTGGGAATATCTAGGTGCAAGCCTTTTAGACTTATGTACATGTCTCCTGGGCCGCAGTGCCGAAAGATAACCAGCTGTCCATGTAAAGCCCCCCAGGGTCGATGGAAGTGAATCACTTAACTAAACAAGCGCAGTTTGCTAAAAGTTTCTTATCAAAAAGAGCAAATACTGTGGCAGCATACCCCTTTCTGACGACCAGTGACTTAGATGAAGGTTGGCAGTATTCATCGGCATAGTGTCGGGTTGTATGATTATACACGGTCAGCCATAGAGACAATAGTTGTTTACCTTTTTTTACCCCCATCGCAGGCATTGTTGACCGAATTTTCTGGGAACGCAACATAGACCATGGACCGTGCACCTCTTGTACCTGGCACATTTTAAGACGACTTCTTTGCCCATCTCACACAAAGCAGGTGTGATCCATTTAAAAGAAAATAGTAATATTTTAAAGTGTTTGTGTGGAATACTTATTAAGCTGAATTACTTGTCTTGAAAAAACATCACAAAATGATACTGTATCGACCGCAAATATCAACCAAAAAAGACATTTCAGGGAAGACATTTTGGTGAAAGTGGAGATAGCGCACCATGAGAATGACGGCTGCATCACAAATCTTCAGGGCACAATGGACAAAAGAGCTTAAAAGAGTTCTGAGGTATGTGTTGAATTAGCGTTAGGCGCACAAGCATTTCATTCCACGGACTGACGACAAGTTTGTGACCTCGTCGTATCCGTTCCTAACCTCGTGTGGATGTTTTCATAGCCGAGTGCGCAATAAAAGGGGATAAATAAACAGGTTAGCGAAGGCATTCAAAACAGACGAAGGCCGAGGGTAGAACTTTTACCATCGCATTACGTTGGAGCTCCACGTAGAATGTAAACACCAGCAAGATCGGAAGCAACTTCTGTGATTTGCATAAACGCCAACCTTGAATTTGGTAATGGGAAAACCCTTTGCGTTTTTTCATAAACGATCGCTCCCCTCCCCCACCAAAGCGCTATCCCCCTAATGTTTCCCTTTGATCTTAGCAAAGTCCAGAACTTGCAATAAACTGATTTCATTCCTGACATCTTTGGATAATTAAAAAAACTACGATTCCTATAAATGCACGTTTCCCCACTGGAAGACCGCGAGTCTCCTGTCCTGTTCGGGTAGCAAACTCAAAAGAGAATATCGCGAAGGAGAGGTTCGGATCACTCCGAAATAAATTTTGGTTAACAACTTCTACTTTTCAACCACAACTTACTACATAGAAGTGACTGGCAAGACCGACTAAGCCATGTTCCGTTTGACCTAGATATTACGAGCCTTCGGGGAAAAAACTTTCTCAGGAGAAGCTTCCACTGGGAGTGAAAAATCACAACGACGTTAACACTCCTTCTGCAATGCAAAGCTGCCTTGTGATTTGAGGCATGTCTTAATGCACGTGGAGTTTTGTAGACTGAATCGAGAGTAGAGGAAAACAAAAGCCGCGCTTTTATACGACCGTGACTTTTCCCAGCAAGTCACTTTTTGCTTCCTTTTTTAACGTTAGTGAGCTATAAAAATAACCCTTCTGTGGTGCACTCGTAAATGGCTCGTTAACATTACAAAAGGGTAAGCGGAAATTACATTCAAAGATGGGCAGATATGACCATCTTCCGACGAACCCAAATGAGGCAGAATACTTGCAACATTAATTCAAACCGTTTGCTATAGTGTGGTGTAATGTTGAAGGTATTTTCTTGTAGTTTCAAAGCAATCAGCTTGAATGCTGGGATTTAAGCCGCATTGGTTCCATTCGTCGAGGAAGTACCGACTGATCCTCAATAGAAAATACGCCTTAATAACGGGCAAGTGACTTGGGATGCTATCATGATTCAGGATTAAGGAGAATGTGGAAGGAGCAAAACAGACAATCTATTAACTTCGACAAAAAATGACTGACTAAAAAGGCGCTTGGATATGTGAGGCAGCGAATAAGGTGAATTCAAGCATGACAGTCTACCAAATCTATTCCATCAATGGCACAATGAGGCAGAAAGGGCAGCGAAGAATGAACGTCAGTTCGAGATAAGCGGCTCTGTCGAGAATATAGTTGCATCGGTAATTATCCAAGGGGATCATAAAGGTGAAAAATTCCGTGAATGCAGAGCGCCTAATTGAGTTGAAGTTTGCCACTGTCAGGTGGCTCGAAGAGGCCGATGACCCCTGCCTTTGGCCATCTTCCTTTGCTAAAATACTGCTGAAATACGACGAACTTGCTCGCAAAATGATACGCGTGGGTGTGAATCGAGTAAATCTACGGGAGAGGTGTCGTTGCACTCCGCTTTCAGATATGTCCTTGCCCAAGTCTTGCAGCTGGATGGGTTAGGCTCATTTGGAGCGAAGGTACTGATACGTCAGGTATGTTTACCTTCGTGCTGGGCACTAGTTGCAAATGCTGGTGAGTGGACGGTCACATTTTCATTACTAGCGAAAATGATTAGGTAGAATGCTTTGTCATTTCTCCGGTACGTTGATCCTGTTCGGTAAAGCCTTGATACCTATCGTACCAACCGCAGAATGCCTATCTTGATACACTCACGAAACGAAAAGTGAGAAGTACGGATAAGAACCTTCCAGCGTTTGGGAAAGTCCGTGGCGTTGGCGGGGCTACACATTGAAAGTGTACAATAAATATAAGTTGATTGTTTTGTCAGAAAAGTGATTGGTGATTTTTGACTGTCCTTCGCAGAAATCTAGATGCTCTGAGTGGCCGTCCGCGTTGAGAACACACGTGTGCGGAACTAACGACAGGGCAAGGAGCGCATCGCTGCTTTAAGATTTATCTTCCGGTGCATTATGAAAGGCGCGTGTGGTCCGTTTATGGATTGGGAAGGAAGTGAAGCAAAGTAAAAAGTGATGGAGAACAAAAAAGATGACAAGGGAGAACAAGATTGAACTCGGTTGGAAAAGTAAGTATGTGATAGAATGGATGGGAAAAAATAAATAATTACCTTAACAATACCGTGGATACATGGAAGCAATAACGTCGACTTCTTGATTTCAAGAAAAAATAGCAGAATTCTCGGTCATTTCAATTTCTTAGAAAGAAAATAAGGCGCCTATCTAAACTAGATGTTCATTTGGCCCGAGGGTATACGCACGTACAGCAAAGTATACTCGGTTTGTTGGATCATAACCCACAGAAGATGCAACAAAGTGAGAATGAGCAGCCTGTTTTCCTTGCTTTCGCTGCTGCTGGGGTGAAAGCAATTTCTCTACCTTTCAATCTAATTGTTCATTCGCGTGTGAACGCGACGCAAAACTTGAGACTTAAGTGAAAAATTGAACGCGCTTTGGAGAGGAAAGTGAAAACTCTCGCTACGTTCGAAGGTAACTTTGTTCTTTGCAGAGCAGAAGAACCCACAAACCTTAAGCGAGGTGGGCGTTGGCTCTTTCAGCCTGTCTATTTACAACCGAAGGAGCTCCTCTCTTCCTGCGTTGGAGTTAGCTTCCGCCGACACTTACTTCATTCACCGAGCACAACTATCTTTCAAGGATGTTTCTCTGTTAGGACTGTCGTCGCAAGAGGTACGTTGAAGCATGTGGAAAAGAGTGAAAACGATCTCGTTGAAAAAATATACTTTCCACTTTCAATTTTGACGTTATCGATAGTCTGGCTGAGGAAATAGCCAACTAAGGCACGTAAAGATGGCGACTGTCATCAGTCCGGTCACGCATCGCGGAAACCGCTTTTACGATACGTCAGTGTTAATTGCTGCCTCCATACTCCTCGCCTCCCTTTCCAGAATTGTTACACATACACACACTCAAGTGAGATAGGGAGCGTCGACTGCTAATAAATCGACTACCGTGACTCACAAAGCAGTGGACAGCAGAGATGTTATCACTACTGTCAGAGGCGATACCCCCACTCATCCAGAAAGAAGACATCTACCCCTCCCCTCTACCCTCATTCCCCTTTCTCATCAACCTGTACACTCATACACAAACACGTGGCACTCATGATTGTAGGTACGGTGTGGATTGGATTACCCTTCCGCCATCCGTTCTGTAAGAAGGGGAAAGTAAGCGTCCACAAGTTCGGTAAACTTTACAAACCTTCAGAGCGAGATGTATGTACTCGCTGGGCGAGAGACCACTTCTGGAAGGATCTTGAAGTTTTTGCAAGGCTGCTTCAAGCAGGCACTCCACTAAACTGATGACAGGTCTTCCGGGCAGCCCCAGCCAACCATGCTCATGGAAAGGGCAGTCGAGGGAGACCTCAGAGGAGCAGTAGATATATTGCGAAGGGTCGGAGCGCTGAGGCATTCGTTGCCATGGCGAAAATCGATGGCGCCCCTGTTGGTAGTGGTAATGATGGTTGTAGGGGAAGACGCAAGGTGCAGAGGATGACGGTGGCGAAAAGTGGAAGTAGGAGGAGGTGGAGGTGTTAGCGGTAGCGGTGGAGGAGAGGCCCATACCAGCGGATGTGCAAGGATAGTGGTTGCGCTGCTGGAAAGGAGAGAAGTGTTGAGGTTGTAGCGGTGGTGGAGGAGGGGGACTTCTGAATCCTCCACGGGACTGGTTTCCACTGCCGCCCGATGAGGAGTTGAGTCCGATGGCCTTGCCTACAGTAAAAAGGACAGAAAAAGCAATTGAATTAGAGCATAGGAAAAGTAACACGATATTTCACTCATACCATAAGTGGAATTTGTTTTAAAGAACAGGAGCTGTAATTTTGTTCATGTAATTTTTTAATCACGTTCATTTCACTTCCAGGGGAATCTGCAATGAAAGGCATGACATTTGACATTTGAATTCATCAAGTGCAGAGATTTTTTTCGCCAAGTCCACCTTGTGAAAGCTATGCGTATTTCCATTACTCCTCCTGAACTCAGACAAATTTTACCATTTGAAAGCGGCTCTTCTGTTTGAGTGTTGAAGTCCGGTAAAATCGTGCTGCCACACATTCAAGGGTAGGGGACGGGGAGGGCTTTTGGGGAATGCTAGTACCGCCATTCGCCTGTTTACATCCAGGTCCCATGAGGTCTCTCCGCGTTGAGCAATCGTAAATAATGGCTGGGCAGGAGAGGAATGGAGGACACGTGGTGGAATGTTACAAACTGTCCTGTTGTCCGGCTCAAAATTTAGAAGGGCTGACCGTGGGAACGACAGGTGTTCAGCGCACCAGTTGGTGCAAATTGAAACTACGTTCTCGAATTTCGTCCCCACGATGAAAGGGGAGGTGTTCAGGTTCCTTCTGGTCGAAAACCAGCACGCCATAAGGATTAACAGATCTGCAGAGCTACGCGGAAAAACCCTCCGATTAATTCCTCTCCACTACATTGTACACCTACCGAAACACTTTTACTTCTTGGCCTTTCATGGAACCCATTCCGACATTTAAAACATTGCTAGAATGGCGAAAGTTAGGCAATAATTTCAACTAAAGGAAGTAAAAAGACCGCAAGGTAAATGAAGCAACTTGCCTAAATGCTGCAGGTGATAGTAGAGTTCTGGGCGAAACGCAAAGACCCAGTTGCCCTCTTCAAACCGTCTCCTACTCTGTCAACAATTCAACTACCGTAGCAACATCGGATGGGGACGTGGAAGAGGCCTAATTTTTAGGTCGCTGGAAGCTACGTGTTAAATAACTCATGTGACTTGAGTGAGGTTATATGCATTGTAAGAAATGAGTGAATTGTCAACCTTTAGGGCAATATTTACCCCTTTAAATGCCCCTTATAATTAAAAACAATTTTTCTTCCAAAGCTTATCATGCTCACTTGCACCATCCATCAAATTAGAAAGACAAAATCCAATTAACTTGCAAAATGTTATTTTCAGAAACAGCATTTCCCCACAATTGATGCATAGATCACTTTTGGATGCTGGTAGGAAAAAAGTGAACCCAGAGTGGTTGAAACCACCCAAACTGATTGGCTAAGTCCGTACTCGATTAATGCTATCTACGGTAGAGACTGAAATGTCTAGATATATTTAAAACCGCATTGCTGTCATTTAAAAAAGAGGAAGGAGCTGTCCATATGAATTATTCGAAGGAGACCGTGAAGGGCGGTTACTGGGTGCTGCCCAGATACTTGACAAACTGGATTGGACAGCCTTCAGTCCTTTAGATTAACCATATACTCCTTTCCCCGCCTGTTATTTGCTCAAGTCTGTTATGAGAGTTTTTGTGAGGAAAGCAATGTCTCGGATACAGCACACCTCTTTCAAGATGATTTTTATTGGATTCATTCACAAAAAGTGTCTAGGTTCCAAAATAAACTACCAAGTGATAAACAACACCTTTCAACTCTTAGTGCATCTCGGTCTGTGCGTGATATGATCAACAACAGGCACAACGTGAAGACCATCAATTACTGCACGTATTTTTTCAGTAAATCAATGGATTGGAAGAAGTGTGTAGTTGCTCCAGAGGTTTCTACAATTAACAGCTACCTCTTGAAAGCATTACCAGTGGTTTTTGGCACAAGAAGCATCGCGGCGACTGAAAAGCCTTCTCTAATCAGTACACTTCATCCAGGAATCGACAATGTGTAACTGATGATCCAGCACTCAAAGCACAATAGCTTAGTTTCACACCTCTTGTGGTCAAGACACCAAAACCACTTAGGCAATCTTTCTCCCAGAAATAAAATCTTGATTCTTTCACTTGGTTGGAGTTTAGGCAAGTAGTCAAGTCACTGCAGCAAGAGAGAACACGCCTAAGTAGAGCAACGCCTAGACATTTTGCAATCGATTCTACTGTCAAAATGACAAGTCACAGTCTTTTTTGTGGTTAAATTTGATAACCCTCAAGTAGGATTTTACGCACGCAGACTAAAGATGTCAAATCATTGCCATTAGACGAAAAAAAAGACAGAAAACTTGATCGTCTAACACCCAACGCCACTTATTAACGTAGCAATTCGCGCTCCATCACCAACTTTTTTTGTCTTTTCAACACCAAAAAAAGATAGAATCATAGATCTTGAATCAAAAAAACAAAACACACCTGATCCCCCCGAATTTGATCGCACAAAACTCGGTGGTTGTGACGTCAGTGAAGACGGTGTTGGTGAACAGGGTCCCGAGGTAATCTCTCCAAGCATGGCACCCCTATGGGAGACATCTTCGAGACACGCAATTAGAGTGTTCGCCAGAGTCACCGCAAGTCGAGTCGCAGCCTCGGCAAATCCCATCACGTGGAGTGCAGAGGCACGCAAACACGCCGTTACAAAGTCCTCCTCTGCGCCCCACGCACGCCTAATCACCATAGAGACACCACAGAATGGACACGTACATTGACGGGAGTCTGCAGGCAGGATGTGAATCAATTCGGAGAGCGTATTTCGTGAAATCGGGGGAAACTCCTCCGAGATCTCTAGAGGCAGTGCACTGACGTCCAGGGCCAGCTGGAAGACAGAAGTGGGCTCTCGACTACTGCGGGGAGCAGCAGAACCATCCTCGATGGGTGATGGATTGTTGGTGGCGTAGGAGGAGGGGAAGAAGTAGATTTCATCGCGAGGTGCCTGCGGCGACTGAGACCAGGCGAGGAGCCGTTCGCGCCAGCCGTCACGGGTGGCGGGAGAGAACCCAGGAGCCAAGAGGAGACAGGTCCATAGACGTGCCACCTCCTCCCACAGTGGTACCGTCCATAACGGTGGTGGTTGGCTGGTGCTGGCTCCAGTCCTCTGATGACGATTCTGAGCGTCTTGGGCATCGAAATCATCTGGACCCTCATCGAAATCAGCTGCGTAGGGGTCCCACACCCCACGGTCCGCAAGGCCTCCACTGCGGTTATTTCTTCGCGACTTGAAAGCCTGAGGAGGCAACAGGAGAACAGCCTTAATGACTACATTTCAACACTTTTACAAGTGGATATTTTTCGTGTGGGTATGATGCAAAGGTTGCATTTTCGTCAGCACATCAAAAAACACCTCTTATGCTCTTATTTTCGCGTATCTACCTAGATTCATGATGAGCATATCTGAAGTGGAAAATGGTTAATTTTATTATCTGCAGAACAACCAAAACGGAAATTTGAGGCGATTGCAGATTCCACGTACTGGTTTGGTAACTAAGAGCCAGACAAATTCCGTAGTAGTGTTTTGGATGGACAGAAAAGACCCGATATGCTAACGGGAAGTTAAACTTCAAAACGTGTGAAAGCGTGGTCAAGCGGCCAACGGAGGTGGTAGAGGTTGGGAGGAAAGATGCCTTTCGGGGCAGAGCTGGGGCGAATCAAAAGTGAACAGCAGTGAATGTGACATTGAGTGTCCAGGAAAAAACCCACAAGCCTGACGCTTTATCAGTGGGGTTAAATGTTAGTACAGAGCCTGGACCTCCAGAAAGGTCGTCCACTGATGGTGAATCTATGGAGCTGAGATGCAAAAAGCACTTCATGTGACTCTCAAATGGCAATGGCCTGCCTCCGCGCTTGGACTGCCCATACAACCATGATCCGGAAAATAAGCCAACGCATTCCTTCCTGTTATTTAGACAAGGAATAACATCAGCGAGAGGCCCCAGCTACGAAGGTTTGAAACATCGATCAAGAAATTGTAAGAACAGGATTTTGGTCGTAAAATACCTCAGCACTGCCTTGAAGAAGTTATTGGGCTGTGTATCTAATGGCCGTCGTATCGGGTGCATGTACAGTGTCTCCTTTCGCATCAGATTTCACGGAATGAATGAATAAATGAATGACTCGGGAATGGGTAAATGACTAAATCAAATGATGGATGTGCATCTTAACCTAAGAATAGGTGGAATGGAAAAACTCCGCTGGTGGTTGTTGGAGAACACTTTTCCTGTGACCAGTGATAACTCCGTACTGGAAAAGCCATTGCCTTAGTGGGATAGAATGGACACTTTCCTCGATTGCCAGGATGGTTTACATCGACCAACTCCACCAAGAATATATCACAATTACCAGGAAAAGACAAAAGTAGTGGGTCATTTTGCCGTTGCTAAACAATTAATCGAGGCGGATTATGCTAGCTGTCCTTTAGGTAATAAGGGTGCACCATCTTTGTGATTTCCCGAGTGGCCATTTTTAGTGAGTGGAGTAAATCATATCGCACAAATCTAACATTGGTAAACCACTTTTGACGTCTTTAATCTGTGGCCCCTATGCCCTTCGGATTTGACAATGTTCCCAAATCCCCAGTGAACAATAGTGCTATTCAAGCACTAAGAATTACTCTTCTAGATGCAAATCACATTGGCAAAATCAAGGAGTCTGCATTTCGCGAAGTAATTACCATCAACTTTACCCACAAGCATTGAAAAAGACGCCACGTGGCATAAATCATTCGCCAGAAATCCTAGCTACAACGGCAGCAGCAATAACTCGTGGATAAAAAGGAGCGAGCTGAATGTCATTGTGGAGGTATAATGCATTATTCCACTGATGTGTTGCGTTGGAAGTCCCATTGTTCTTAGCTTTGGCCACAATGAGTTGAAAAGGCTTACTCCTTGTATGTAAAACTGGGGAGCACCAAGATTTTGCCAGAGTAAAAGGGCTTACCAATGATGACAGCGGGTGTGAATCACTGGACCGGGGCAGACAGCTAGTTAAATATTGAACAGTTGTTCTTCTTCTGACGTTAGCAACTCATCTTGTCTTGCAGCGGATCGTTTATTGTAAATATTTGCAGCAGAGCCGCGACTATTTATCGCTACTGTAGCATAGAGTTACTATTAAATCCAGTCTCTGTCTAGCTGCAATTTTGAGAGTGGCAAGAAGCACAAGCACGCAGGGAAAGCAACCAAGGTCATTTTGGAACAAGAAGATCGTGAAACGAGTGGAATTGAATTGACGCCGCTAGAAGAAAGGACTATTCGGAGTATGCCAAGCAGTACAGATTTTTCTCTAGACGATACCTTCAGCTATTGCGTACTACGGGCACCGTACTTCCAAATTACACACTTTAGTGGGCAAATCAAATGTGGTCAAGTTGGTGGTCCCTCAGAAATCTGCATATGATGAGCAATGCACACAAGACCAAATAATGCCCCTGGCAAAATACCACACTCCGCTAACTCACGCTTGATTACAGAAGGCAACTGAAAACCCAAGCCAATGCTTTGAATGCTCAATATGCTGTCAATAGCGCTCGTGAGACCTTACAGCTATGCTTTTGTAAGTGCTCACTTGGTAACAGAGGTGCAAGAACATGCCAGTTCCACATCATCCCAAGATGGGCAATTGGGTGTAAGGTACATCAAGGCTGGGAATGCTTAAACTTATGCCTAAATAAAAGTCAGGCTGTTCTACGGAGCTGAAAAGGCCTGTCTAATGATAATAAACATGCACAACAGCTGCAGTAGTTTTATGCAGCAGGATTCACTGCACAATCACGACTGAATGAGCAGCGGAAGTTTTGCATGCAATGAGGAATGAGGCAAGACTGCTGTAGTTGATGACAGACGTGGTCACTCACTACCGCTAACTGCTGACCGAGGAGGATTGACTGAATAATGCAATTAGAAATTCAGTTGCGAGGTCCACAAGCACGAACCTGGTGCATTAACACTCGGCTTAAGTCGGAGATATTCCTATGGGAGACTGTTTTGCAGATACATTTCCACTAAAACTCGTCAAATGGATACCGAAAGTACCAGCTCCTGGTCTACTAATATTTACATTAGACAAATCGCATTGAGCATCAGCAGAAAAATCCACGTTCTTTTGAGTGATCTAGTGAAACAGAAACGAGTTACCGGAGTGCGTAATAATGATAGCTGGACAGAAAAAAGCATACCTTACCTTCCTGATCTCTGGGAAGTGGCAGGGGATACCAGTAACTTTACCTTACTGCCAAGCGGCAAAGATGGAGTGTAATTGCACCACTCCCACTAATGAAATGATGAAAACAATCAGCGGATTGAAATGGGAAGTAGTTAATACAATGTCAGAGAGTTTATTCCTTATAGGAATGTGACTGTTGTCCTTTATTCAATTGTTCCTTTGAAAACTGTAGAAAGACAAACGATAGATACGTTCTGTCGCTGGCAAAATGGCTCCTTTTCTTTATAAGCTGAGGCCAATATAACCTGTTTTGTGATGCGTTAACGACTAGACTCAAATTTACTAAAAAAAGGATTTTATAAGAGTGAAGCAGAATTCTACCATTAGGTTAGCGGAATTGAGCAGTTCTTCGGTGATAATGGCGAGGAGGCGTGGTCCATTTGTGTCGCGAGCGGCGAGAAGTTCGTAGGTTTTCGCAAACACCATGGCAATTTGACTGCCAGGAAAGTGATGCGGAGCAGTAGTATTCATATTTAGTGGCGTGAAGCTTGGGAGGAGAATCTGTATTGAGCTACCACTACCAATCCCGCCTCCGCCACTACCGATCACGCTGTGGTGATGTATCGAGTGCGCCGAAGAGTGGACCGAGTGATTCGAGGTAGAAGCGGAGGCGGAGGTCGTGTAGCCGAAAGGTGGCAATTTCGAGCGTAGAAGATGGCGATAGTTCTCCAGCCAGGTGTGGGCAAACGAGCGGTAGGCTAAAATGAAGACAGAGGTACATATTTCATCAGAACATGGAACCTCGACTCTCTCTCTCTCTCTAAATCCAAGTGACAAAGTGAATATTTCACTTACTGCAGCTGTACCTCGTTAAATTAGAATCTGTTTGTTTTTACGGACCCAGGTACCTCCAATCCTATACAAACAGAAACCCATTTGAACAGAAATCCCCTGAGAAACTGGGACTGCTGATTACACCAGAGCCTGGAAAGAGGGGTCTTCTAGAGCTAGGGGAACGTAGGGGAGGCAATTTAGTTGCTACTTGCCCTTAAAGCTAGGAGGCAGACGAGCAAGCAAGTAACGGATCTGTAGGGAATTTCTAATGAGGCTAATCCACTTGGCTTAACTAACGGGAGGATCAGGGTTGCTGCAGGGAAAACAACATCAAGGCAGCTAAAGACAAGTAAAGCTTTGAGAGGTGAGAGGACTGAGAGAGAGGAAGGAAGGGCAGGGACCGAAAGAGAAGATCCGAAATTAAACAATTGGACGAAAAAGGCGTACCGCGAAATCAAAGAGGCCTCGACAGCCTTTCTGTACTTGCAAAATGCAAATGGCTAGAACCTTTACTTCATTTCACGAAAAAACGTCGAATATGCCTTTGAGTTAACGCTATCGTCTTGTGCACAGCAAGAAAGATACATCAAAGAATTGAGCACGTGATGAAGATTGAAACGCGGTTATTGAGTTTGGCTATAAAATCAATCTGGAAGAGAAAAACTAGGAAAAAGTTTAATTTATGCAACCAGAATGGACGCAAAAGTGTGTGTAACATGGACGGAGATGAGGCCGGTAGAAGTTAGAGCTTCAGATAAAGAATGATGGCGTCCCGACTGATCAAATCTTCACTTCACTTATCGATCTTTGACACCCAGCCAGGCCACATTCAGTCCTTAATTGTGGTGATCCAAATGGTCGGTAGTGTTCATCCGACCAAGCAAACTAAGCTTAAGCTATATATTTCTCCTCCGATGCCGGCAGGAGGAGTTCGGATGGACTGATTGGGACGCCCTAGAATGCAAAAATGTCCAAATTCTGCGAATAGATTTTACGTATATTCGTCATGCAGTAAATCAGAACGATTGAGGTGTTGATTTTCTAGGTTCGGAAGAAACTATCGACCTAGCACAGGTTATAAAACAACATTTGGGATGCAGCCTTCTCCGCTTTCACTTCACTAGAGTTCTGGAGCACCAAATCCGCTTCCATCCTCCTCCACTCTACTAAAAAAGCAGATCCGTGTAAATGAAGCAAACAGTGCAATGCCACCCTATAAGGGTGATTTGCCATTTTCTGCAAATAATTTATAACCGTACCATGACACGCATGATGATCCAGTCTCCTTTCCCTTTCCACTGAGATATCTGACATTTTTGACGTTAAATACCTTGGATAAAATCTCACCAAAATTCCGAGGTTTATAGCCGTTTTCGTCTGTAGTTGGCCCCTCGTCAGTGGAATACCGAGCAGAGAAACGACCAAATCGACAGTGGTGGAAGTCGGAGTGACCGTTATTGGTGAAGAGCCTTCCGTATGTGGACGAAGATGAAGAGGTGGTGGTGGAGGAGGAGAAAGTGGAGACAGTTTGTGAGGAGGCTATTTCAAACGCGTTGCAACCACCCACTCCGTAGGCGGCCAGAGCTGCCAAATTCAAACGCAGCTGTTCTTGAACCCCGCTCTCGTCGAAGTACCAAGTGGAGGAGTCGTTTATGCCACCGCCTGCTGTGGGATCTGGCGCTCCTGTGGACAAAGACACGGAATTACTAAATAACTCGCGGCACAAGTGTGCTAGCGGAACCTTCGATCACGTGACGTATTTTGCAGCACCAAGTCCATCAGGATTCGATGCCAAAATTACTCCATTTCTAAACAGATTCAGCCACAAAGAAGTTCCAGAGCGAAAAAGACTGTAAAAACATCAAGAGCGTCAGACAATCAAGACACCAACACTAAGATCAGGGTAAGTCTTTCGGCGTACAGTTTTCAGTATTTGTTATTCCACACCAGGTTCTGCTGGACATTCCGTTCAGTTCAAGGATGGCTTATTCACAGTCACATTGACGTTAAATGCGGAAGTTCGCAAGACCCTCAGAGCACGCGATCAAGAGAGCCATAAGCAAGTAGCGAACCTTTTTTCGCCCCACAAAACAGTTGCACGGTGTGTTTCATGGAGCGCAGCTCCTTGACCATAGAAAGTTCATTTAATCAAAAGACACTGAGGCTGATGAGTTTTGGAAAAAAAATAATTGGCTTTATTCATCACTAGCGTTACCTAAACTCTAAAAGACAGTCCTACTTTCTTATGTACCTTTCCAACTCTTACACTTCTGCCGCTCCGACTCTGCAAGTAGTGAAGCAGTCTGCTTTGCATCGATCCAGCAAAACGCCTGTAAGGATGGGTAGCTGGCTTGCGTCGACGTAGCATAGCGCAAGGAGCAGAATATTATTTATGCTTAGACAGACTTCAGAGGCAAGAGTGATTTAAATGTCTCGTAGAGGAGCCTTATAAGAGGTCTCACGCGCTTGAGAGCTTTTTCAACCGAGACTGGAAAAATGTAACTCGCCTAAAGTACGCACACGAACGCAGAGACAGAAAAGACGGGGCAGTCGCGATTAGGAGCAAGACATCACCGCCACTCAAAAGTCTGTGGCAGAGCAGACAGAGTAGCCCGAAAAAAAACACGGCAATCGGGTTAATTGCAATAAACGTAACGTACGAGTGATTTATGACGCGAATAAGTCCGAAGAATAAAAACGCAGAATAATCCACTAACCAAATGTACCTAGGGGAAAGCGCCAATTTTGCATGCTGTTGGTGATAAAAACAGTTGTTTTGGCTGTCCGGACTTTGAGAATAGTGCTGACTGAACTCTAGCCCAGAAGTGGATTCGCATTCCCATCGAATTGCTCAGGTCAAGCATGTGAGGGGTATTTTAGTAAGCTTGGTTGCTTTCTTATTATGGGAGAGGCATTATTGTCTCCCATAAAAATACAACCGGATCTAAAAATATGATCAGAAGAGCCCAAAGGCCCCGTGGAAGAACAGCCGTTCAACAGATTATGGTTGCTATTGATTGAGAGACATTTCCATGTGAAATGAGATAACAGGCAGCAGAGATCGCCGTCGACGCGTTTTGGTGAAATGCCTTGGCACTAAAAATCGCCAGATTAAACAATGCCCCCAGGCTAACCTAAACACTCATGCTACTTATTGTGCATAACTTCAGACCAATTGTGCACCCGCGTGCGTAAAACTTTTGGATTTTACGAGTTTTAACATACCTTAGAGGGAGAAACTCTACATAATCTTTCAAATTAGGTGCACATGCAAACCTCCAGGTGACCAGCTTGACTAATGACGTTAACTGTTGGCAGACCTCTCGGATTTTCGTGAATCAATTCCTCAGCCCGATTTCCCAGGTGCAGGGCCGAAGAAGAACACCGACATGGAATTGTTAATGCGCTTCTAAACGCTACAGCAACGTGAATTGGCGTGCAACACGGGAATTTAACAGCGTCACTCAGCCAGCAAAACATGACATCCTTAAACAACAATTACAAGGCGGTGGTAGTAGGGGGAGGAGGAGGAGCAAGGCGTATGTTAAACCTCTACCTCTGATGCATCACCACTGCGGCGCCTAATTACTCGTATTAGGTTGAGGAAAACTAAATGCACACTCTGAAAATTAGGCCAGGTAGGTTGGCAATACAGCTTTCTGTAGTTGCCTCACGTCCAATCCAGATTTAAAAGTTACACCCATTTCATCTGACATCCACTAAAGTTGCCTTAAAAATAACTAGGAGAACAAAAAAACCATTAAAGGGAACCAAACTGGACAAAGTATACAGGCGTAAAAGCGAATAGCCCTTCCGTCAGTGGGTGAGACACAAACATGACATTTCTCACCAAGACAGCTTTTAAAGAGTACCTACTCTAGTATAAAGAGCCTTTCTCTACAGACACCGAGGGCGAAAATGGCTTTGGGCTGACTAAATTGACATGGATCATTAGAACTTCAAAAAGGAGTAGTGACAATAATGCGGGCAAATTCTTTAAAGATCTGCCTTCCTAGAGGGATTTTTAAGCAATTCGAAGTCACCAGCAGGAGTGGAAGAGCTCGCCCATTACGCACAACAAGGACTGACCCCAGAGGCAAAAAATGGAACATCTTAACTCGTACTGCTTAAATGCGACGATGACTAACCTCGTATTCGAGGTGGGGCTAAAACTGGGATTTCAGCACCTCTGAGAGTGTCTAAAAATAAGTTTCCCAAAAAAAAGTGTCGCTAAAATGAACGCCAAAACGCATTAGAGCTTAATTGGAAGCAGGGAAATGTGCCTTACCACGAGAAGTTGCTGCATGCGGTCTATCTGGGCCAAGAGGAATTAAATTATTTTCTCCTTCCGTTCATGAGTACGACCAAGCATTATTGCATAACGAAAGCAATTTCTCACTTGCTCTTACACAAGCTCAACGACAATTACTTCAACAGCTCAAAAAGAACGCTCATCTGTAGCCACGTCGACTCGAAGGAAAGAGTAATCTGCGGTGATTGTTGTTAGAAGAGGCGGAGTTTAGTGTTCGCCTCGGTAGTCCTGCGCCCACACTCCCGATTGATCCGAACCGAGCGGTTGTACCTGTCGTGAACGACGCCGGTGCTGTCGACGCGGATAGAGATCAGTGACAGTGACTTATAAACAACGGTTGACCGATATTTGGCCATGCCACTCAGTACATAATCGTCTTTAAAGCTTCTCGCTCATACTCGGGCTTCACGAAGATGCTACAGTGTTGACGCAGAGGAAATTAAAACAAGGGAACTCAATAGTGTTTTTCCAGCCGAAAAACCAAAACTCTAACAAGACCTAGTTACACAAGTTACTAAAATTAATAATCCGGAGTTTAATCACTATTCAGATCCCGGTCCTACATTAGAACCTTGTTTTAAAAGATGGGGGGACGATACTTGAAACGAATTCACTGGCGTTGGTGATGGGCGGACAGTTCTTCATGAAGCAGATTAGAATGATCAAACATGGAAAGTACTTCACCCTCGTTTTATCAGGGTTTCCAAAAGAGCAGCCACCATTGTTCAACTTGCACTATAGTCCCTTGAATTTGACAAAGTAGGTGATGAAGAGTTCGTGACTTATGCGGAAAGAGACAATCGTCAGGGTGAATCCTTCAAATTGGAGGAGGTCACTAGCGACCGATTGAAATGCCCTATTTTTGTTTGTAAATTACATCCGTCCACCATTTCAGACCTCCCCACTTGTACCTCGAGCGAGGTCGAATAGGATCCGTCGATGAACCTACGAGTTGAAACACACAAGTGTCAACGTTTGCTTCATCTCAAACCTGATACCACTGTAGTTACGGCTTACTAAGTCTTTCTAAGCCACGCCCATGGAATGGCATATAGAAACCGAAAGACATTTGAAAAGCTTGATGCTAATGAACCTGACAGTGTGGCCAATGGCACTTTGTCAGACAGCACCCATTCAAAAAATACAGATGCCAGAAATCCAGAGATGAGGGAACACAGATTATCACTGTCATGTAGGCGGTCGTTATGTTCCCGTCAAACGTTGAGCCCATTTAAACAAGTGGGCAAGTGATAATACTCTGTGCTAACTCAATTTGGGAAGAACTGAAGGAAGTATGCCGCTTTGTCCATCAGTAGTGTGGTGGTTAAATTGTGGCTGAACGCCATCTCGAAAATCCCTTTCATAGCAATTAAAGCATGGAAGACCATCTAGAATACCGACTGCTGTCTGGCGATTGTAACTTCTGGATCAGAGCAACAACCAATCAATTAATCTGTTCGTTAAACTGAAAGGAGGGTTGTATTTCGTAAAACCCAACCACTCAGATGCTTATCTTCAGATTGAGGCGAAGAAAGAGTCCCGAGAGTTCTTGACCAACACCACAGATTATGGACAATTCACGTGAATGTGACTCTCATTTGGCCTCAAAACTACCCCAAACATGCATAATGAGATCATGAATACCATGATGCTCGATGTGGAAGGTGTATCAGCTTGTCCAAACAGCATCATCATAACAGGTTCATAATAAAGGCAGTTGATCAAAGCGATAGAGCCCGTCCTTAAACGGATGAAAAAATACAGATCCCATCTACGCCAAGATAAACGTACCTTTGCTACGGGTTTTGCGCCAGTTTTGGGATATCTCATCAACAAGCACGCCGGAAGACTGGACCAGTGAAAAACCGAACCCATCAGTAGAGTGCCTCCACCTCATGGAATACTAGCCCTGCGCTCGTTTCTGGGATTAGTGAGTCACTACAGCGCCTTTCTACCAGTTGGGCAGGGGATCCGTGGTGCACCTGATTGGGTGCTCACAAGGCATATCCAACAGCATTACCCAATAGAGCGCCAAGTCTTTTGGGGGAATCGGGTCAATGGTTAGATCAGAGTTAGCATATTCATTATGCTCCCCAATTGAAGATCGTCCGAAATATTAAATTCTATCGTCTGGATATTAAGCGGCTTTTCAATTGTTAGTGGTAGAGAACTAAGTCTACATTTTCCCTCTTCGAGCTACGGTCAGGGTGCAGCCCATCTCTCTCGTCATCATTGATGCAACAGAGGGCGATCACCTGTGCTCCTCGTTCTCTGACGCCAACGGAGCGGCACCACAAACCATAATATTTGCAATCAAGAAATCCCAAAAGACGTGATTTGAGCGACACTTTACGCTGATCGTAGAACACAA